AGTTTTTGTATTTTTAGTAGAGATGGGGTTTCACCATGTTGGCCAGGCTAGTCTTGAACTCCTGACCTCAGGTGATCTGCCTGCCTCGGCCTCCCAAAGTACTGGGATTACAAGCATGAGCCACTGCACCCAGCCAGGACTTTCTTTTTAATATAACCCCGTGCCATTATCACACCTGACAAAATCAGCAGTAGTTCCTTTATCTCACCTGAATTCCCACTCCATACTCACATGTCCCCACCACTCCCAACAGTGTCCCATTACAGCTGGTTTGTTCAAATCAGGATCCAAACAGTCCACATGTGGCATTTGGTTGCTATGTCTCTCAAGTCTCTTGGGTTTTATAACAGTACAAAAGGAAGAACGTTTGGAGCTTTTCCTGGGGAGAAAAATTGCTCAGAAAACTGATGGTCCCATAGAAGAAGAATAAAAAAGAGAGCGTATCCATGTCGAGACCTAACTCAGAAAAGTGAGACCAGGCCAAGCAAGGAAAGGGACATTTCTGCCTCCTTCCACTGGCTTGTTCACTGTAGGGGACAGCCTGCAGGCTCACAGCCTTTCTGCAGTTCCCCCTCCCACTTAGGAGGAGGCAGAGACTCAAGCCTCCCACAAGCCCTATGTGCTCCTTTCCTGGGAAAACAGGTGGGTGAAGGCAGAAGAGCCCAGGCTTCAGCCATCAAAACAGCCAGTGAAGGGAAGGGGTGGAGGGGTGCCACCTGTAAAACTCCACTGAGGGAAGGGCAGCGGGGAGGGGTCCTGGGCAGGAGAGAAGTGGGTGTGAGAGTGCCCTGGGTTTCACTGGAGTAAGGGGCTGGAGAGATGGCACAGATGGGGGTTGGAGGTGCAATCTGCTTGCAGTTCCTAAAGGAGGCCTAGTATCTAGAGAAAATCGTTGTGTGTGGGGTGGAGCTGGGGGAGTCGCCTCTTCTGTAAAGCCAGGATTCCTTTTTCATGCCTTAGCAGCAGCTGCTGCTTCCTGCCCCTGCCTGTGGATGTTGGTACTGACCTGGCACACCCCACTGGACTTTTTCAAAGGCATTTGCAGCTGCATAAACAAAACTTGACTATCCCACAGTTTTCTGTCTTCTTGCTTCCCTTTTGGACATTTTTCCAAGACACCAAACACATTCCTAGGAGCCTGGTCAGAATCACCAGGACTCCCTGGTATCACAGATGGACCACAAGGCCGGAAGGCGGGCACTTTCTGTTTGCAGGGAGGGGCGGTCAGGAGAAGGCAGGACACAGTTCCATCTCCCCCTCACACCCCCACTTGAATCAAAAGTATTTGTGCCACATTCCCTCTGGGAACAATTTTGCTGCAGAATTTTCACCTCTGCTGCAGAATTTACATGTTTCCAGGCTGAGATGTCAGCATCAGCGTTTAGTGAGGCTCTTAACAACCAGGAAGGCCCATTGATTAGGAAAGGCCAGCCTGACAGATTGATAGCCCCGTGGCCGCCTCCTCAGGGTTGGTGCTGTTGTGTGTAGCTATAAACAGGGCCCTCAAAAGAATTGCATCACCTCCCATTAATAGCCTCTGGGAAGATGATCTCACCTGACATTTTAGCTGGGCCCCTCTGCTCAGTGGCTGGCACTGCTGGACCAGGAGGCGGGTGGGATTCTCATTAACGAGATCCCCCACACCTGCATGTTGACCTTCCAGCCATGGGCTTAGCTCTTCCTCCCCTGGGTGAGGGTGCCAATCAGTAAGTGGACAAAAAGAAATCTCTTCTCCTCCAGAGTCTACTAATCCCATCTCAGCAAACTCTCCTTGAGAGGTGCAAGTGCCCCTGTGAGGGTTAGGCTGAAAGATCATTCATGCCCAAGGGAATTGCAGACGTCAGTGAAGTCACAGTTAGAAACGGTTGATGGGTTGGGGAGGGTGCCAAGCACCTTGGAAAGGAAATTCTAGGAGCTTGGAGGTATGAGGGAGAGAGGACTAACAAAAAGCAAGCAGTCAGCCCTCCCTACCTGCAAGTTCCACATCCTCAGATTCAATCAACCACAGATCAAAAATGTGCAAAAAGTAAAAAAGATAACGTTACAATAATAAATGCAAATAATACACTGTGATAACTATTTACATAGCATTTACATCATATTTGCTATTATAAGTAATTTAGAGAAGATTTAAAGCATTAGGGGAGGGTATGTGTAGGTTACATGCAAATACCACACCATTTTCTAATACGGGACTTGAGCATCCATAGATTTTCGTATCTGTGGCAGTCCTAGAACCAACCCTCCAAGGATACTGAAGAGTGAATGTGAATAAATACAGAACAGAATATCAGGTAGCACCACGTGTAATGAAGATTTAGTACTCCGGCATAGTGAGTCATGGGGGCAGTTGGGTTGCTACTTTATATAGGGTGGTCAAGGAAGGCGTCCCTGAGGAGATAATATTTGAGCAAAGACTTGAACAAAGTGACAAAGTGAATATAGGAGGGAGCAAGGGCAAAGACCCGGAGACTTTGGATCCACAGACCAGCAAGTGGACCTGTGTGATGGGAGCCAAATGGACAGGAAGGAGAGAGGTAGAAAATCCGGGTGGAGGATGCAGGCCTTGAGGGTCTCCATGAGTTCATGGGGATGTATAGAGAGCACGGGGAAGCCACTGGAAGGCTTGGAGAAGGAAAAAGGCAAAGTCTTCAGCACAGATTTGTCACCCTCCACCTACTTTTATGCCTGCCTTCCAGGGGGGACTAGACCCAGGGCTGGGCTCGCAGGTGCACAGAGTGGGTGGGTGACAGTTAAAGACAGGATCTAGAGGACTGGACATGGCCTGGTGGTTCCTCTGGCAGCCTCGTCCTTTTCTCTTCCCATTCCTTGTCTTTCTCCTTCCCCTCCTGTCTTTCCTTCTGCACTCTTTGGCCCAAAGCACTGTACTTCAGTTTCGAGGGTGAATAGCCCCTGGTTTCTCATCTCCCATCCACTTCTAGGTGGCATGCGCTCCCCGTCCAGCTCCGGGTCACCCCAACCCCTGTCCCTGGACCTCTACATCCTGCTGACTCCTGGGCAGGGCCATGGGGAGCCTTTGTGCCCTGACACCCTTTCAAAGTGGTGTGACTGGGCTGACCAGGTGACCTGGGCCCCTCATCAGTGGGAGTAAGTAGGTCCCAGGTCCTGGGATTTCATTCCAACTTGTCTCTCCAACAGCTCAGGGAAACGACTTAACTGTACAACTATTAAGCACTCACTGTTGTAGGTTCCGGGTAGGGAGGAGAGTTGGGGTCGGGGCACTGACATAGACAGGAAGAAAGTCTGTGCCCTCCAGTCATTTTCCAGGAGTGGGATGAGTCCTCTGCAAGGCTGACTGACAGGCGCTGGACTTAATAAAGGAGCACATGCTTTGTTCATGTCAGGGAGGGAGACATGATTTTCTGAAATTTGTCTTGGAGGAGATCATGTCTGAAATTGGCCTTTGAAATACTTGAAGGCCTTCCAGGGGGATGGGCGGCAGGGGCTGCCATGGGATGGACCTCCTGCCAGAGGGTGCCAGCTCCAGAGCAGTGTGGCCGGCAGTGTGCACTGGCTTTCTTCTGGTGCCTGATGCCATGATGAAAAATCAAGCGCGGAGGCGTGCTCGGAGCATGGTTAGGAGACAAGACCCGCACTTCGGAATCAACGGGCAAGCTCACTTAGCATTCATCAGATGCCCAGTGAGGCATTGCGGCAGGAAGGCTCTCAGAGCACAGAGAAAACCAGAGCTGCCCAGGACCTTTGGAATCATCCTGGGCAGTTCATTTTCTTGAGGTCATGGGGGCCTTTGAGATTCAATAAAAGCTATCAACGCTCCTCCAAAGAAATGCGTGTCTGTACATACACACTAAATTTTAAAAATTGAGTTATAATTTATGTACCATAAAATTCACCATTTTAAAACGTACAATTCAGTGGTTTTTAGTATACTGACAAGGTTGTGTAACCGTTATCACTATCTAATTCCAGAATGTTTACATTACCCCAGGAAGAAATGTCATACCCTTTAGTAGCCATTCCCCGTTCTCCCCTTTCCCTGGCCCCTGGCAGCTACCCATCTGCTTTGTTTCTAAGGATATGTCTGTTCTGGACATTTTATTTAAGTTGAACCATACAGCAGGTAGCCTTTTGTGTCTGGCTTTTTTCATTTAACATAATGTTTTTAAGGTTCATCCGTGTTGTAAAATGGACTCAATTTTTTATGAATAGTATTTCTGACTAATATTCCTTTGTATGGTTGTAGCACATTTTGTTCACAGAACCCCTGAAACCTCTCTTGATTTCAGAAAACCTTATTTTACAAAAGGGGGGAGTTGCAGAGGGAGTGGAGAAGGCAGGAAAGCTCACTAAAACTTATTACTACGTATTGAGTGGTGCTGGGCTAAGCACTTTATATATGCATGATCATATAATTCTTAACCCTGTGACATATTATAATCCCCATATTACAGATGGGGAAACTGAGGCTCAGAGAAACCATCCCAAGCTTCTTGGAGAAGTCAAGATTTAAGCTGAGCTTTGACTGCCAGCCTGTGAAAAGCAACTGCACATCCTGTCACCTCTTGACTTTCATCAAAGCCCTTATTTCCTTCCATTTATTTTTTAATGGAGTATGAATTCCCTATCTACCAACAAGGCGTTTGTTTTGCTAAGCCCAGAATCGCCCCAGTGCCCAGAAGGCATCCCAGACTGCTGTAAAATGACCCTCTCCCCAAAGTGATGTGTGACTGAAGCCCCTGCCTCCTGCCATTCCCCTTCAGGAGCTGCTGAGCCTCCAGCCAAGGCTGTCTGTGTGTCAGGCTGTGGTAATAATAGCTGAGAGGCATCTCCTGAACAGCTGAGACGTGTGTAGCTGTTGCCCTGACTGTGATGCTCCCACGGTGTGCCCCGCCTGGTGGGGAGATGCCAGGGTCAAGCCAAGGGCGGTGGGCATGCGGTGGGTGGGGGGTTCTGCGGCGAGGAGGGTGGCTGCTGTCTGAAGCCCAGCAGCAGCTGCCATGCTCTGCTTTGTCTCTCAGCCGGTGGACAACCAGCAAGCCATGGTGCGCAGGGAGTCTGTGGTCAATCTGGAGAACTTCAAGAAGCAGTATGTCCGCCGGCGGTGGAAGGTGTGTCCAGGGCTGGGGTGGGCCGGGGGACCTGGGTGGGGTTTCTGGCTCTCCTGGGTCTCCGTGTACATTCTCACCTGGGCGTTCCTTTCCTCTGCCTCCCTCAGCTCTCCTTCAGCATCGTGTCCCTGTGCAACCACCTCACCCGCTCGCTGATGAAGAAGGTGCACCTGAGGCCAGATGAGGACCTGGTGGGTAAATGCGTGCCCTCTTCTTGGGCAGAATTCTGGGGTAGCCTGGAGCTCAGGGATGAGTGAGTTCCCTTTCCCCTTGCAAGGCAGGTGGGTGTTCACTGTTTCCAGCCAGTTCTGCTGGCCCAGTCCTCCTCTTCCCTGAAGGCTGAAGTGTGATCCTCAGAGGAATGTGGGGACCTCTGGGTGGTGCCGGGAGGGGAGGGCTGATGCAGCAGCATGAACTCCTGGAGGATCTCCCATCCTTTCCTGGTGGGCCTTCAGAGGGGCCGCTGCTGCTGGCTGACCACAGACAACCTCAAACGTATTTCTGACGCAACCCAAAAGCTGCTTTAGAATGGGAGCTTTACATTCTCTTTTCCATATTTCCATTTCTGCTTTGCTTCAGATTACCATCATCATAATATTTAGACAAGATCTTATATTTGATTGCTTTATTGCCATTTTGTATATATTTAAAAGGAGTAGCTCGTAACAGAATATACTGGTGAAGAGGGTGGCCTCTGGAGTCAGACTGCCAGGATTCAAATCTGCCACTTACTGTGTGACCTTGAGGAAATTGCTTAACATCTCTGTGCTGAGATTTCATCATTTGTAAAATAGGGTTAATAATAGTTCCTAAAGGTTAAATAATGACATATTGCTTTTTTGTTTGTTTGTTTGTTTGTTTAAGACGGATTTTCGCTCTTCTTGCCCAGGCTGGAGTACAATGGTGTGATCTCAGCTCACCACAACCTCCACCTCCTGGGTTCAAGCGATTCTCCTGCCTCAGCCTCCCGAGTAGCTGGGATTACAGTCATGCGCCACCACACCCAGCTGATTTTGTATTTTTAGTAGAGACAAGGTTTCTCCATGTTGGTCAGGCTGGTCTTGAACTCTCAACTTCAGGTGATCTGCCCACCTTGGCCTCCCAAAGTGCTGGGATTACAGGCATGAGCCACCGTGCCCGACCAATAATGACATGTTCTTACAGCTTGGTATGTAAGTGCTCAGTAAGTGTTAGCAATTATTGTTGTTGTTTAAAACCCTCCTGTAGGCTGGCCGTAGTGCTTCTTGCCTATAGTCCTGGCACTTTGGGTAGCTGAGGCAGGGGGTTCACTTGAGGCCAGGAGTTAAAGACCAGCCTAGGCAACATAGTGAGACCGGGACTCTACAAAACAAAACAAACAAACAAACAAAATTAGCCGGGTATGGCGACACGCACCTATAGTCCTAGCTACTCAGGGAGCTGAGGTGGGAGGATCACTTGAGCCCAGGAGTTAAAGGTTACAGTGAATTATGATCACGCCACTGCATTGCAGCCTGGGCAACAGAGCATGGCCCTATCTCTAAAGAAAATTAAATTTAAAAATTAAAAAAATAAAATCCTCCTGTAGACTTTAAAATGCAGTTGGTAGGGGTTCCCCGGACAGCCCTTCCCCCCGCTTACGGAGTGTGGTATAGGGTGCTCAGGAGTGTCTGGGATGCCACAGGTCAGGACAGAAGGGGATGCCTTGCTCAGGGAAGGACTGGGAGGTGGGTGCGTAAGAGGGCTGAACAGCCTCATGGTGCACGGCTAGACCCACGAGAGCCCTGCTGTCCCCACTCCCTCCACACAGCCTGGGGTATTCTGTCTTCAGCGTGATCTCTTGCCAGCACTTGAGGATTTATGGCCCAGAGGCCCCAAACAACTGTGTGGCTTTGGCCAAGCCTTGTGCCTGCTCTGGCGGCTTTCCTCATCTCCTGTGAAGGGGATTGGACCACTGTCCCTCTGAGAATCCCTGATAATGACAAGCAGACTTCACCCAGCTTATATTTTTACTGTTTGGCTCTGACTCATGCTAAAAAGTTGCTATTCGGCAGAGCTTGAGTTATTTTTATTGTTATAGCCGGGCTTGGTCTAGGATATTTGGCTAAAGTTGATCTTGACCTTGGATTTCCAGCTGGCTCAGGCTGGAGGAAGGGGAAGAGGCCCTGGGAGGATGAGTGGCAGATGGTGGGCATGCCTCGCAGGCTGAGCCACTGGCCCTGCTTCCCTGACAGATGCAATCTGTGGGGAGAGAGGACCAGAGTAATTGAGAAGAATGCCAATTTTTTTTTTTTTTTTT